ATAAGCCAACCTGAAGTGTTATTCTGATTAGTTAAAATATATATTATGCCGAATTTAAAATATAAATGAATTCAGTATTATGTTTAGTTTAATAAGCATGGCAGCACCAACACCTTCATTAGCTTCTCGACTCTTTCTGTCGTTTTCCAAGATTGAAATTAATGTTCCATAGCCATAAATAAAAGAGAAGAAGGAAAATTAATTTAATAATTATTGTAAACTATTCAATGATTTGCTTCAACACTTTAAGAAGCACGTTTTATTCAAACTTCCTCGCTAACGACAGATATAAATTGGTATTTCTAAAGATAAGTAAGTACAATAACAGAAATTTGACTGCGAGCGTCGACCGAAGAACAGATGGTTATTTAATTAAACATTTTAATTTGTTCACCAATTGTATGAAACAAATTTCGTTGGACGCCGTATCAATTAAAGTTTTAATGGCTTTTATACTGAAAAGGCATGTAATGAATCACATCAAATACAACTTTAATTAGTCGTAACCCACATGACCTAATTACAATTTGCAATTTAAGAAAAAAAATGTTTTTCGATAGTTATAAAAACACTTATTAAATTAGGCGATGAAATCGTATTTTCAAGCGAAAATACGATTTTTTACCTTGTTTATAATAATAACCGAGTATCAACAATGCTGCCGTTATCAAGCTAAAACGCGGCTAAATGACAAAACCAACGTCTAAGATATGGGCAAAATACGGCGAGTAAACTTTAAAATATTGCTTTTTTGTAACCATTCATCACATGACGGATTTTAGACTAAAACTATAAAAGATACGAATACGTGTTAAAGACAGATCGATAGAGAATTAAAAATTGCATAAGATGCAATTTAAGACTGAAAAATCGACCACCGTTTCACTTAGCTGCACTTTAGTTTGAGGACGGCAGAATATGAGTTTCATTTTAATAAACATTTTCATAAATAAAACTCAATAACATAATTATTTGCCATTGGATAGTCATTTTAAGACACATCCTGGAAATAATAATGAAAGAAATATTCGACTTTTTACTATCTTAGATTAATTCCTGCATGTAAGCGTATAAAACTTAGCAGCTGATAGTTTTTCTGTTGTTATTTTAATTCCGATTCAATATACATAAAAATGTATGTTTATAAAATCTGAATCAAAAACTACTGTCAAATAAGATTCATGCGTGTGCGACGCAGTCACAGCTGATTAGCTGGCTCCTGTTACAGTCTGTGCCACTTGAATCAATGAAGCGACTTCTATAATAGTATGTTTCATCAGCTGTTAATGTTAGATGAGCGCACAGTATTATTCAGTTGAAGTTAAAATATATCGCATTTACTCATCGAACACATACAGTATCAAATGAAGTAATTTATTTAATAGTCTATAGAGACTGTATAATAAAATAATTATAATACTGGCCTAATGTTTTTTTGTTCACAATACAAGGCTTTGCCCCATTGTATAAAGTATACAAATCAAGATAGAACATAATTTTTCAACCACAGAGCTGAAATTCGAAGCTGATTACGGCAGCGGTAGCAGTGTAATAATCCCCTGAATCATAATTGGATGAATATTCTGATATAAAACAAAACAAAAGGTAAAAGCGAAAATTAATAAAAGAAGTAAAATAAATTAAAAAGAGATTTACGAAATTTAAAAGAATAAGTACCTATTAGTTTTCTACCTAAACACTATTTTGTATTTTGAGATCATAATTAGCTTTTTTAAACAAACAAAAGAACACAGAAGCACTCTCGAATATCATTTAGTATGAACCAGTTGAGTGAATTAAAATTAATTAGTTGCAACAGTAAAAAGAATCCAGTCATCAGATGAACATGTACAGTGTGTAAACAAACGAATTGACTTTCATTGCTAAAGTATATATTTTTAGCGACAACTACGACTCAGGGAGCCTGATAGTGATTTAGTATAATATTTCCTAGAATCAATGCCATCTTCAACTAAAACTTTTTTTTAGACAGAAAAATAAACAGTTATGGTATTACTACAAAAAGTTGGACAATGATTTAAACCTTGTTTAGGAAAATTTTGTATGATTTGCTTGTGTTTGAACGCATTTTTTTAGGTAATAAGTTAAAAGTTACCTGATATATACATATTAGGTAATTTTAACTTATTACCATGACATACCAGACTACGCTCGGAAACCCGAGCGTACGAATAGTGTGGCATATCATAAGTATTCCTTGTTGGTACAAAATCTTCGGATAAAAATGCTGAGAATTAACATAATTCCTTAATGATCCTGATATCTTCTAATATTAAAAGTGTCCAACATTCTTTGAATTGGATCGGTTCATCGAACTAAGACCTAGATGGCCTGTCGAAATCTATACGAATATTAAAAGGAAGTAAAGTTTGTGAGGTTTTGCATAAATATTTTACCAATAGAAAGCCACGTTATTTTTAAGTGTCATATGCTATAGTATAATCCGAAAACCGCGGATGAAGTCGCGCGCGGCCGTTAGTATAACATGTTTTAGTACAAAGTAAACATTATTACTTCAGTTAAATCCATATCTAGTCAGTCACTACTTCAAGGTTCATTTAAATAAATTCTTAATATTTACATATTTTATCCACTGACTATCGAATTGCTTCCCCCACAGGACAGAGAAAGAAGTTTCCTAGTGTGTGGGTTAGTTCTCTGTAACAGTGATGTGAAATAAATCATTATTACTCACACTTCTGGGAGAAAGGTTAATATGTGTGCATGAAGAATAAAACGGAGTTCTCCTAACCGCATTGTTATTAAGCATCCAATTATGATTCACGCGTCGCGGTCTGCATCAGCTATAAATTATTATCAAATATTTCGTGTTGCATGGAACTGCTATACTTTAAACGGCGTCGTGTAAATGCATTGGAACAATAACATTGGGATCGGTCAAGGCTTCTGTATTGTTAATCTTGCTATTGATTTCGACTGGAGTCCAACCCTTCTGGCTATTGTCGAGTTACACTAGAATTGTTAAGTGGCCACGTATACATTTCCATCGTCATTTATTGCCATTGCCTACGCTGGACTGTTATCAGAAACCCTTTGCAGTGAAGTCGGTCTAAAGAGCTTTACCCTAGCTTTGATCGATGACCTTTGTCAAACCACTTAACAGAAATTTCGAAGGAATTTCACATTTCATTTGGTTACGCCGAGAACTAATATTTGTATTTATAATATAAACTACATGTCTAATTATACCATCACAATATAGATCATTCTGGTGAATAATAATCTCTTCGCGCGATAACAGGATAATTCAGATTGAACTTCACTTTAAGTTCGAATGATCATTCAATAATATTTGTATAAATAAAAAATGAAAGCGCAAGTTGCTACATATTTTATATTATTATTGACGTGGCTGTCGTTGTTGGAATATCTTAAGAACATAAATGTAATTAAACTAAAACTATCAATCGTTAATAGGATAGTTTGATGCAATAAATAAATGATAACACACTCAACTAATGCGATTTTACTGAAATGTTAATATTTGTATACCTTTTTTATTAAAAATCTTTTTTGGAATGCTCTGCCCGCTCACGTGTTCCCTCCCTTTTACAACCTGGGATCCTTTGAAAGAGGCGTGATAAAGCAACATGCAGGCCGTCATGGTGAGGATGACTCGTGTGGCAGGTAGAACTGCTGTATCAGCTATCTTCGCGTGTGGTCTTCACCGTCACTTAACATCAGGTGGGGTGGAGTCATTAGTCGGAACTATCTATAAAAAAAAAACAGGTCTTCAAGCTATTCAGCTGGAGTGGACGCTTTACATTTCATGACAATTTATGACGCGTGTTAAAACGAGAATAATTGTTCCCGGAAATAATAGAAAGCCATCACCGACAAAAATTACACTGAAGGAGAAATTACAAATGAAGTATTATAGGTATAATTTCTGTTTTACAAGCCATACTTAGTTCTCCACCATTAACACAAACCACAAAATTAAACATTAACCTAAGAAGTGTACTCGGCACAACACCTAAACATTATTAGTCATAACAACCTGTAGCTGTTTAATTTTGAGTTTTACAGCTTGATGTTTCATAAAGGTTTAAAATGTAGGTTTTATTAAACGAAATTTACGTAGGTACATTAAAACTTTGTCTCGTGAGATATTTCCTTCCAGTATCTCGGTCATAATTTTATAAGTACTCTTTAACATATCAAATCAGAAGTTAACAAATTTCCCGACCAATTCTAAAAATCATTGACGAAAACCCGGTTAAGGTTAAAAGATTAATTTCTCGACCGAATTATAAAAATCACTTAAAATTAAATAATAACTAGATATAAACAGGGTTCTCCTACCGCTTTCAATTTTCAAGAATTTTGCTGTCTTGTTACCTTTTCCCAAAGTGGGTAATTGGAGCTATTAATTAATATGTAATTGTTATATGTACTTGAAATTCCATTTAAAAGTAAGGGTACTCGCGGATTAGTTAATAATTCCAGATATTAGCATTATCTATGTTCTTGACCGACAAAAACACGGACCATGACGTGATTACCATCAAATATGTATTTTGTCTTCTTATTATCGAAAATTACCCTAATTTTTTCCCGAAAAGCTGCCACTGAGAGCTATTTAGTCCTTAAAGCTCACTTTTACATTGTCAAATATAAACTGCAAAATTTCAAGCTTACATTTTATTCTTTGAATCTTGAAACCTCTTTTATGAGTCTCAATATCATCATCATCTCTCTCATTATGAGTTACAATGAACTACCAAAAATATTACTTGCTTCGTTGCCAACCCTGACACAATCGCCTACCTTTTGGAGCTCTAGAAAATTATTGACCTATAGAAATACAACACCACCAAAAGATAGTGTTATATTACTTTAGTCTTTTTTAAGGTGGAAGTTACTTCCCCAGCTAAGCACTCCAATCCTTTGCCCTTTTAAATTTGTGGGTTTTTGTCTTTTTGCTTTTTGTCTAATTATTTTTTTCTGTTTCACAGGCGACGCCGATATGTCGCTGAAGCAGGGCAGCGGCACCGGCAAGGTCCACTTCGGAGGCCTAGACGATGTGTCTCTGTACGGCACGCCGGTGGAGCCCGCGCCGCCAGCGCCCGACGCCAAGCAGGGCTTCCTGCGGAACCAGCTGCAAGCACTGTTCCAGCCGACGGACAACAAACTGGCCATGAAGCTGTTCGGCTCCAAGAAAGCCCTGATGAAGGAGCGCATCAGGCAGAAGGCAGCTGGCCACTGGGTCATACATCCGTGCAGTAGTTTCAGGTTAGTGAATCACTTTCTATGTGATAGCGTTAGTTTATCGACGTGAATTGGTGAATATATCAATGGAATTAACTAATCCCGATAATGAAATAAGTCAATGTTGTAAACATGATACATGTATGACATATAATAGACTAGAGATCTAGGAAAACGAGATAAACGCAGTTTCTATTCAACTAGAATTTATTAGTAAGTAATAGAACCAAAGGTCATATATGCCCTTTTTAATTAAAATTTTAGTTTTTTGGTGTCAGTCCATTTTAAGACAATTAAATTGAGGTTGCAATTTTTTGACATGAATCACTGAACTTAATATAAAAATTGCTACTTTCGAAAACGCAAATTTTGAAATATTTGAGTATATGTTTCGTAATATATTCGATAGGTAAAATCTAAATTTCAATTTAATATTATAGTTGTCAAAGTATGTAGATGTTGCAAAGTGCAACCAAGTAGCATTTACGCCATCCATAAAGGAATGTTTTAATAGCCAAGCCATCTGTTCACGATCACATTTTATTACATCGGGGGATATGGATTTGTGACTGCGAATAGGCGATGTTGGTTGAATCGAATGCATCGTAAAGGGGAATTGAAAACTAACGGCTCGCTAACATCCGATATTTTAAGGAAAAATTCTTCACTTTATAACTGTACTGTGAATTTCAATTGAGTCATAAAACGTTTCAGTGAAATTTCGAAAGCAATAAAAATAGAATTATATTTCCGGTGTATGAAATTAGATTGCTTATTATTTTCATAGGACATTGACAACCTTTGCAAAGTAGTAACTTACATACGAAGTTCATGATTGATCTATCATAGTAAATACGAAATGGATTACCACTCCGACCATGTAGAAAAATCCATTAACCATGTTTATAATTTACGTAACACAAGGACTGCAAACAGTATATAATATGTAAAACCAAAACCTAATATAGTAACTTATATTAGGTTTTGGTTTTACAAATTGAAGTTCTATAGAATACAAGTGTAAAATATCACAATCCCGCCAGCCACTATATTTCCTAAGACAAACTGAGCTAAGAGATGACAAAGAATACACATTCTTGGCTTTTGTCCTTGTCTATCGATGCATCCAGTCGTATTCTGGTGTTTTAATGCAAAAAGTAGCTTTTTGTCACGTATTCTTTCTATATCAGAAATTGCATATATGAATGCGATTTTAGAAAATGAGACCAATAAATACTTGACCAGTTTTGTATATAACTATTTTAGTAGTATTTGCCTAAACTTCCAACTGAAATCGCAAGTTAACAAGATAATTAATTAACCAAAATTTAAATTAAAAAAAAAAACAAATTTTGAAAAAAACATACATTTACGTAAATTCACACTGAACATTAATGATATTATATTCAGAACCCATTAGTTTATGCATAATGTCAACATAACAACATATCACACATTCTCACAAGTTCAAAGATCGAATATATGATGATCTCAATAATAAATGAATCAAATCGAATGGCAATTTTTCGGTGATAAAAATACACTGATTTATTTCCACTAGCCTCGACCGACGTAACCTGCAAATTGATAAAGCGAAAATGAGTACAGCTTTAGATAAATAAATACACTGTCTACAGTTTTTTTGGTTCCGTACTCAAAATGTGGTGGACCTCTCATTTACACAGCTGTGTAATATTTATTGTTTGAATAATTATCTAGCAGCCGCCTGCGACTAAGTCCACGTTAAAATTAGTTTTTTGAGAATCCCACATGAACCTAACATTTTTCCGAGATAAAACGTATCGTATACTTAATTTTGTCATATGCTATTGTATGATAACCAATAAAGTTTTTTTCATTTCATAATCCCTGTCATAAACTACATGCGTACGGAAGTCCGATTGAGTAGCAAACATACAAACTTTCACATTCACAATATTAGTAGGATAGAATTTGCAATCTTAACTAAACAACTTTACCTATAGTGGCAAACGACAGCATGTGTAAAACATGCAAAGTGAATCAAAAAGTAACTACAATCGTGTCCAACGGTTTGGCTCCATTATTAGGTGGACTCGACCAGTAGACCGTGGCGATACAACAAGAGCAAAGGATATGTAATTATGAGCACGCGTTATAACTCAACGTAGCTACTGTCAATTATTGACAAACGTTACTACCGCTAGAGATGTCACACTTTGTATTTTACGATATCCGATTGATTACAATTTAAAAATTGTTGTCCTCACCAGCAGAAAAATCACAAATGGTAATTTAAAACATCTATCCAAAATAGAGATGTTCCAATACATGAAGTAAATAACATTCAAAAATATTTCGTTTTAGATGCAACTCTAAAAAATATAAAACATAAAAAAACATGATTGTCCTGCCAAAAAACGAACTTAACGTCAAAAACAAATTAAAAAGGTTAATGCAGTTGGGGGGTTGTGCTGCAGAACACTTATCAATCTGTTTGTTATTCTTTTCTGTTAAGTATTAAGATGTCGTAATAACCACCACGTGTCCAAAACTTGCCTATATTGAAATAGTAGATTGTTTACTGAGGGAGCAAATAACTATTTTAAAGGCGAGAATGTCGAGCTTTCAGATAGTGTTGCTCTCGAGGTTTACACTTTGACCTGTTCTTAAATGTTCGTGATTCATCTCTTGGTTATTGAAACTTTTACTCACAATATGCACATTCTTAATTCAAATCACTTTTAGTCCCTAGGGATTAAAACGCTATTTTGATCCTTGTAAACCAATGACGTATAATATAACTTTGAAACATCATAGTTGTAAACAGAAAGCAAACTAACTCTGTTTGAATATAAGTGATAAAAAAAATATTCACAAAATGTTCCTCAAACGTCATTTTATTTTTGATATGGTTTTTGCAATATCTGTTTTGACTATCACTATCATAATCTTTTTGTTACCGGATATGGTAATTTCGATACATTGTACGAGTACGTTATGTGCGCTCTTAATAGAGTTTCATGTTGACACTGATAATGGCTTCCTAGGGAAGTACACCGTAGACAGTTAGCAAATTACGATCTCACAATTGTTATACATTACACTAGCAGCACACAAAACTAGCTTTTAACCTGTACGTTTCAATAAAGTCCATTCCGCTAAAAGTTTGACATTTGTTGTTAAAGTACTTATCCTATGGGCAACATATAGGCAAGTTACGATCATAGTTATGTTTTAAACATTTAACTGCTAGATGTATAAATCTAAAGAAAACTTTACTAGAAAAAAATCCACGCGGACCAGGCAGCAGACGGGACTCGAACGGCTGGAAAGGTGCGGATTCGAGTCCCGTCTGCTGCTTGGTCTGCGTCGATATTTTTCTAGGAAACTTTTCTTTAAACTTTCCATAATAATCCTTTATCCTATCCTAATATGTTAGGCTAATTAAGATATAATGAATGACACAATAAGACATACAGTAATTTGTTAATTGACATAAATGTTTAATTAACAATTTATTTTAATCTTTATGTATAAGGTTTTCAGTGCTATATTATTATAAAAATATATATAGTTCTAACTAAATAAAAAAATCTTAGATAGTGTTGCCGCTGCTACTAAATAATTGATACAAATAATATTACCCATACTTAATTTTTTTTTGCATTCGCTTTTACTGTATTGTTGTGGAACGAAATTTCTTCCTTATCGCACGGTACGGACTTGGTAAATGAAGGGGCTAGGCGAAAAAAAAATGTATAATTTTTCCGTCACGATTTCCATCACGACTGTCAGCTGTTTCGTAGCGTATTGTGTGTAGTTGTGTAAATTTACCAATGTTTAATTTAAACTTCGTTCCAATCGAGTTGTCGCCGACCTTATTTAATAGATTTAGTTTTAATAGTACTTTGCAGTATTATTAAATTATTCAAAATTGTTATTGTATTCTCGTAGTCTTTGTCTGTCATCTGCTTTAATATTATTTTGTGTACTACTTTAAAATAGTATGATTAAACCCATTGCGTCCAAAATCCTAGCCTTCATTTTCCATCCCACTAGCTCTCCGCTTCACGAGTGCTACACGGCATTCGCGTTTTTATTGTTATAAAATTATTACTTTTAACAAAAGTGATTTAAATTTACAAAAGTAAAAGTTGATTAGCATTAAGAATAAGTGAATAAAGTGAAGAAGCAACATGCAGGCCGGCAGGGTGAGGATGGCTGGTGTGGCAGGTAGAACTGCTGTATCAGCTATCTTCGCGTCTGGACTTCACCTTCACTTAACATCAGGTGGGGTGGAGTCATTTGTCGGACCTATCGATAAAAAAAAATAGAATTTGCAAACTTACTTGAAATTCTTGTTTGAAAAAACCTACAATAATATACTTACACCGCCTCCAGTCTTATTTCTCCTATTGTTAGGTACCATTGTTAATTAAAAATATAATGCTACTCATCCTTGGCGCTACCACACAAAGGCGTATTCGTACACAGTGTACGAATAATTCCGACAAAATTGTATAAGTAATTATGTACTACAAACACGGACGCGGTATCGTATTTCCATAAGACAATCTGTTGCTACTCGTATATCCACGTATCTACCCATGATATAAAATAATGATGTACCTTTCCACATCTGTCTGGGTATCCATTAAATCCTCATGAACCACGCAAAGAAATATTGATGCAATGTTTTCATCATAAGTTGAATGGTTTTTTTTTCTCTGAAGGATTATAATAGTGCGGATCATATCTTAGAGTTTGCACCGTAACGCATCGAATGAAGCGAATCATAATCAAAATCAAAGAAATCATTTATTTATACATATTTTGTATAAAAAATCATACTTTTATTTTATTAATATAAATACACAGTAAATGGAATACATAGAAAGTCTAATTTCAAATCATTTGTCAATTTACTTGTTTGTTTTTTTTCATATTGGCTATTGTATTGATCTTTTAGACATAACGTAATCAATGCTAACAGGAATTAGCGCCATGCAGTGACAGAAATTAAATTTAATTTCAATCCAGTG